TGCTGACAGCTCACTGTGTGTCTGAACGCATAAAGTTACTCCACATATCGATGGACGGGGTTTTCTAGGGTCCGTGTGCCACTGACGAGTCTGGTTAGGTTTGTTCACTCGGTTTGCATAGGTGTGGACACATCACAGTAATTAATATGCTAAAGATAACTAAATGAAGTCATACAAAACAGATCTAGCCGAAAATCAAGACTCGCATCAGTTGCCGTCTGATTTACAAGCTGCCATAAACACTGCGCGTTATTGTTTATATATAAATGTTGCTGTCTATATATTGCTGTCTATAAATTTATATATAAAATATATACATTTGTGTGTGTGTATATATATATATATATATATATATATATATATAACGTTATATTAAAAGCTGTACGGCATTAGTTGAATGTATGAACAGGGTAATAGTAGAGATTATTTTTCAAAATAAAAGCCAGGTTACCGCCGGCTTTAAAAAATAAACCCTTACAACAACAACCAAAATAATAAATAAATAATCTACCATGATAGCCAAAATATCCACCATTATATTTAATACAGTACTGTAGTAATTTGCAGGATATTTACAGTAATAACAACTGTAGTACCAATGGCATTCGGATGAAATATAACGTAATTGTTTTTTATGTAACGTTAAAGAAAGTTACACCTGTAGAGCTGAGCATAAACAGAAAAAGTCAATCGCATTTATTTCTTTATTTTTAAGGTATTTTCATTTATATCACACAAATTAAAATGATATTTTTAGGTTTTCTGACCGTAGGAACCCTACTTGTTCAATAGACAAGCAATGCTTTGTATCACTTTTGTTGTATATATTGCTGTCTTGTGTTATGTAATTATATCTAGTTAAAGATGAAGATGAAGAATACTGAACAAAAAATGACTTTTAAGTTTTTAAGCTATTATTGAATAATATCTCCTTTTGGTGACATGGTTTCCGTTTGGTGGGTGGATCAGCTAAAAATATGTCAAACATAATACATGGATTCGTTTGTATGTTGTTGCTATTTTTTATTTCCTCTTATTTTTCATGGACGGAACGAAAAATTACACGTGTGTGTTCTAGCCGGAGCTCTGAATCAGCCAATCAGAAAACAGCATCGTCGGAAATGTCCATTAAATTCATCCTGACCTAAAACGATTCGAATGTGAATTTTGTCACTCTCTTATGTGTGTACCGATGTTTTAGGACGTAACATGATTTTTGCTTGATATTTTTATTGTCTTGTGGACATATTAAAGATTCAAAGTGGGAAAGTCGAACTAAATTACTAGACTAACGTATACTAAAAGCCGTCAACTCGTTATTTTGCCATCAAAGCACCGTTATCTGCCCAGTTTATGATTATGTATGTAACGTTAACCTAGTGTGAACTTCACTTGGTTGTGCATTATAGAGGTTTAACCTGTGGCACGGCAGTGTAAATCAGGTGTAATTTAAGACCAGCAGCTGTCAACTTGCCCTCAGTCAGAACCGCTGTGTGTAAATGGCAGAGCACGAACTCTTTCAGTAATGTTTGTGTTGTGTTTAAACGGGGAATAATCAGATGGACTTCACGGAGTGCTATGGAGACACCTGCTCAGCCGTCGCGCTGGCAGCCCGGGAGGGGAAAGGTCGACGGGTGCAGAAGCTCATCCAGAGAGGCTTCGCGGTGGACGTGAAAGATAACCGGGGCTGGAACGCCCTGCATGAGGCTGCGGCGGCTGGATCAGCGGAGTGTGTGCGGCTTCTCCTCCCTGCAGCCGGTAAGAACTTTAGATGGGGGGTTTAGCTACTCTGAACTTGTGGACCATCAAACAGAGTGACCTGTTTAGACAAGGAAGGGATAGTTCACATAGAAATGCACATTCTGGCATCATTTACTCAACCTCATGTCCCTACTGGAAAAACCAGCATGACCAGCTCAAGCTGTGTTTTGGAACATGGTAACGTTAGCTGGTTAGACCACCCATATCCAGCTTATGCTGATGGCTGCATTTTTCAATGATAGATTAATTTTTTCAGTAGCTAGTTATTGATGAATAATTATTAACAATAGTTTTTAACAGCTTCCAGTTACAATACATGTCCTAAGCCTGCTCTGCTTTAAGAAAGGAGCACAAAAACAGACATTCAGGAGAAGAATTCAGTTTATTTATGTGAATATCATTCAACAATCTTCATTAAAACACATTTTGTTTTTTGTGTCCTTGAATTTATATGAGAAAAATTACTTAGTGTAATTAACTGGCAGTAATAACCTAACAACTTAACTGAACTACTAACAGTTTTCAGCAGCTTACGTAACATGAGAATTCACTTATTTGACTTAATGTTTTTGTTGATGTCTTGAATTTTTCTTTTAAATAGCGCCCAAGTTTTCCTGCTCTGGCCTTAAGCTCTGCTTCCTCCAAATCTTTGCCCTGCAACCACTTTTGAAAGCAACCTAGCGAAAAAAAAGACACAGCTGATCAATCAATTGCAAAGCAAATACAATCAGCAGATTACATGGAACAGAATAAAAGTCAGAAACATCTAGTAGGGACCAGATATTTTGTTTGCTAGTAGCATCTCATAAACCTCCATTTCCACTATCAAGGTAAATGGTTACTGTTTTTATACTGATCCTATAATGACGCTGATTGTTTCTTTTTCAATTGTGGTGCTGTGAAATCAGCATTAGAATGGACTGACTGAGCAAATGACGTATCGCAAATTCTGCAAAAAACACAAATTTGTGACTAGAGCTGTTCGTTCAGCCCAGTGATAGAAAAGTGTCTATACTATATAATAACCAATTCTAGATTATCAAACGAGAATGTATACAACAGTTATACATATCAGCACTCTTGGTCAATCATTGTTCCAAGAAAAAAACATTTAACATTTACATAATTCTCTAAAGTTCACACAACACTTACCTTTAAGTCCTCTAAATTTGTGAGGTGTCAGGGGGAGCCTAGGATCAGATTTTGTGGTGGGGCAGCTTTTTCCTTCCAGGCTACGGTTGGCCAGTGTGCTTGTTCCCCAAATGCACACTGCCAGTTCTTTCACAAACAAGCTGTCCTTTAAATTAGCCTGTATCTTCTTCCATTTTTCACTGTGTATTACTACATCACCAATATCAACCTGTATGAAAATTTAAACATTATCAAGAAATGTAACAATTATATTTTTATTTTTATTCTTGATGTAGGGCCTATAATCAACAACTCAATTTTTGTTTTGTTTTTTACTTTTTGATGTACTGTTACAAAGAGTGTCATTTTATAGGAAAGATTGAGTTTGGCTATCACAGGGAAGTTGTCTCAATCAAGACAATCACCAAAAAAAAAAAAAAACCTTGACTCAAAATCTGAATTACACATGTTACAATTGTGTGTTTTCTTTAGGAGTTGTTGGATTCAAACAATCAACTCTCAAATCACAAATTCAAACTCTCCTACATTACAACAGTATCTTCAGTCCTGCTCCTGTGGACACGCTGTCCTGCAGAGTTTAGTTACAACCCAAATCAAACACACCTAAACCAGAAAATCATCTTTGTGCTTCAGGATTACTTGGAAAAAAATTACAGGCCACCTGTGCTGAAGCAGGTTGGAAGTAAAATTCACAGGACAGTGGGTCCCCAGGAGTAGGATTGAAGACCTAGACAACAGTTTATTTCAAAATTCAGAGTAATATTTTTGTTGCTTTTATGTACAGAAGTGCATAATATTAAACCACACTTTTATATGATGTAATTTTATACAGTTTATTCATTACAATATTGTTAGAAAAATAATATTCAGATTTTTGTGTACATTATTTCCAAAAAATTTCCCAGTTTCATAAATTTCATGAATCTTACTATGTATATTTTGCTGTTACCAAGTATGATGTTTAATGGCAGGTTTCGTTGTGACAACTTACCACATATTATAAGAAAATGTCTCACTTTGGTATGTTCAGTTAATATTGAATGTTCAGTAGTTTTTGTAGGCTTTGAGATAAATGCCCAAAAGAAAAAATACTTAAACCAACCTAGAGAAATACACTGGAATAAGAAGTAACAAGTAGCCCCAGTCTCTCCTATATATACTATTTAATTAAATAAATACGTACCTCATGGTTTTCTGAAATTTGTTTTGATAGGTAACAACAGCAGAACTGTTCTCTCTGGGAAAGGGTGTAAAGTTAGGGACTTGGAGTCCTTATAACAATTTGACCAGATTAAACATAATGGACAACTGGGTCAAGGGGCACCACACAATACATTTTTGCCTGTTCAAAACTTTTTTGTTTTCGATTTAATGGCTATTAAAAACTTTGTGATACTACCACATGGTAATGCCAACTGTGTGCTGTTCCAGAAGTAGTATGGATGATATTTATACTGAAATAAAGATAATGATAGACTTCACTTGCCATTGGATTGAAATGTTGATGTGCAGTGCTACATATCAAACTTGTCAGGGTGCACCCCTGGATGTGATGCCATTGAGAATATGCCAAGTTGTCCATAAGGCTAACCTGGTCCTGTCACCAAGTCTTTTTACTATCCTTAATACTAATACTAATAATATTAATTGTGATTGATTAAATAAAAAAAGTTCTGCAAAGGTCATATTAAAATCTTACCAACTGCTGTTTGCGGGTTCTTTATTTTGTCTAAAGGGGGGCTGCTCTCTGCATAGAATCAAACAAATGGATCATGATTTTCAATACATACAAAACAATTCTGCAAACTTATGAATAACAAGCACTGCAAGTTTTCAAGAGTGCTGGAAGTAGAGAAGACATTGAAAAATAAAGGGACATTTTATAAATGTAATAGGTTTTTATTAATATTTATACATTTCTTATTTTTTTCTTCTCATTATTACTAATATTATTATTATTATTATTCCAAACATGTATGACTTATTTAAGTAAAGCACAAAAGGACATACTTGGCAAAATGTTCACTTAAATTATAAACCAATGGGGAATGGGACCATCAATCTCAACAACAGACGTAATTGGGCGAGAACGTTTATCTTTACCACTTGTGCACCACATTGCAAGTTTTGGCTAGTTTTGTGTGAAACAAACTGAAATTTCAGTTGTCATTCTTGAAAATGTTCCCCTTATGGTACAGACAAGTGAAATTTTTTTCTCGTTTTTTTTTATGTTTATTATCGTTAACCAAAACTATTTTAAAACAATTTGAAATAAAATAAAGATTAACTGAAAAAAAAAATTAAAAACTTAAATTTTATTTCAGCTAATTGCCAAGGCAACATTTCTAATTCGTTTTTAGTACTAAAATAACTAAAACTGTAATAAATTTAAAAAATAATTTTTTAGAAGCATTTAAAATAATAACATGATAGAAACGTCTTTTGTTTTCGCAGAAGAAACAATATCAGTAAAATAAATAAAATCAATACAGTTTTAATGAAAGGAGGATGAGTAAATGATGACAGAATATCATTTTTGGGTGAACTAAAGATTATTATAATAACTAAGATTAGTTATTAAAGATTAATAGTCGGGTGAACTATTAAATACCAATAATCAGAGCTCTTTTGACAGTCTGGTATGTGTAGTAATTATGAAACTGTATATGTGACTTTTTTTCTCTCTAATGTGCAATTCATTAGTTGTATGTCCCTGTTCGCTTCAGTCAATTGCGAAGACTACGTCAACACTTTGACACATAACTCAGAGACTCCTCTTTACTTTGCTGCGAGGAATGGACACCTCCGGGCAGTGAAGTGGCTTATCAAGGGTGGTGCGGACATTAACAGGACAACCAATGAACTCTCCTGTCCCCTCTTTGCAGGTAAAGTACCTAGGATCATTGTCTCAGATCTTGTTTAACATGTGTATTTTTCCTCTTGTGAGTCTTGTTATATGTTATGTTTGTCTCATTTTTTCGTTCCTAGGTGTAGATGGTGGGCACGAAGATGTGGTGGAGCTGCTGGTGGAAAATGGGGCAAATGTCAATGGGACGTACTCGGTGTCAGGCTGGTCTTGTCTCCATCAAGCTGTTTACAAGGTTATAGCTTTAATCTATAACTAATTTATGATTTACGAAGCTTTTATGTTTAGGAAACATTTGCACAGACACTACATTCACATGCCTTAAAGGGGTCCTATTATGCTTTTTCACTTTTTCAACTTTAGTTAGTCTGCAATGTTGCTGTTTGAGCATAAAAAAGATCTGCAAAGTTACAAATCTCAAAGTCCACTTCAAAAGGAGATATTTTATTTAACAGAAATCACTTACATTACAATCACAAAAACTACAACGAACGACTCGTTTTGGACTACAACGCATATTTTCCGGGATTTGTGATATCACAAAACCTAGTATCTAGTATGAGAGCCTGTTCTAGTACACCCCCAAAACAAAATCAAGACTTTGTAAAAGAGCATAATAGGACCCCTTTAAGAAGTTCTGCAGCTCTTCTCACTCACTTTTAAGTGTAAATGCTTATCAGTTATCAGGAAGAAACGCATAACAACAATCAAATGATTATGTAGCTCTTTATGACTACTTTTAAATGTATACCTCTTTCAATAAATTTTATTCTAAATGTTTAATTGAACTTCAAAAAATGAAAGCCCAAGGCCATTTAGCTTTTTTTCTAATTTAATCAAGTTTTTAAATCCTACATCCAAGGCAGTTACCAAAGTCTTTAATCAAAAACTGATGAAATAAATATCTGTAAAACCATTTCCAGGGCCATACTGAGATTGTGAGGTACCTGGTGAGCATGTGCTCTCTGGAGGCTGTTGATGACTATGGGATCACATCATTTTTTGTTGCTGCGCAATATGGACATCACCAATGCTTGGAAATTCTTGCAAATGCCGGTGAGAACATTTCTTTCATGATTAACCCTGTACGAGCTGCAGCTAGCCAGCTATATGCTTCTCTTTTTGTACATTACATGCTTTGGTCAATGTTCAGTGTTAACTCTCGCAACATCAGAGTTATCGCTACTGTAGCCACAGTGCTGTTTACAGTGACACATTCTTCAGAGGCAGATAAAGAGTTTGAATGAAGGGTCAATGACATGCCGCTCATTTTTGTTCAGATCTATTCATTTATTCAAAACTGCAGTTCATACATACAGAAACTTGAATACAATCTTCGAGTATGTTTTTCATTTCTGAATTAGACAAAGTCAGAGGACAAAGTCAGATCTAATCTTGATCTAGTAATGAAGAAAAAAATATCTTTAAGCAAATAAAATTATCCAAAGGAAAACTTTATGTAGTTTGGTTGCATTGCTGCTTATTAATATTTAAAAACTGTCAGCTAAAGTAAAGTCATGGCAAATCATTTATATTGTGAAGACCCCTGCAGACCCTTGTGACTCTTTGACAAAGTCAATAAGTCTCTTAAGATTTGAGCTTTTTAGTTTTTTTTTTAGCAAGGTTAGTTTATGTTGTAAAATGTCATGTGGTGTGACTCCAAAAAATATAATTGTTAAAATAAAAAACTTTTTTTAAAGGGGTCATATGATGTTGCTAAAAAGAACATTATTTTGTGTATTTGGCG